GAGTCGATACGCCCAACCAAAAGGCAGAGCTGCGGGAAAGCAAACGCCCACGGACATATTTCACAGCCACCTAGCGCAGAGTCTCCGAAAAGTTCCTCTAACAGCTGCGGCCAGGGACGGACACAAGACTGCACCGCAATTTGCGAAAAGGACGAAAAGAGGAGCAAACGACCAGCTCTGCGGCTGTGCAAGATGATCAGTGGAGCACCACACGCAGGAGATGAGCAGCAACACATGTGAATTACCACCCACTGCATCACCAGCTGGCAGTTGTTAAACCTCCTCGAAGATGTGACCACAGCTGCCATTTCTCTTGAGATACACATGCAGGGTTTGGTCTCTCTCTTTTTTTTTTTTTTTTTTTTTTTTTTTAAAAAGTTATCCATGAAACAGAATGAAGAACATCCTTTCTTCCTCAAAACCAGAGTCTTGCTGGGGTCATAAAGTTGTTTTTCATTCCATTTTGAAGATTCTTAGAATTCAGACCTTTTAGTGGCTGAGGTTAGGAAAGCTGTTCTCCTCAGTTCGTTATAATGATTAACAACCCCCGGGGAACTACTGTATCAAATGACAGCAGGAAGCAAACAGAATATATCAGATCAATAATTTTCAGATAATCTTTGGATGTGCAAATGCTTCCTTCTCCAAGTGACACAGTGTGGTGTTATGCAATGTGTGCAGAGTTGCTGAGGGCAGAGCCTCCGACAGCAGCAGGGAAGGTTACTGTGCTGCACGTTAACACTTCCGAAGCCATTAAGGTGCAGTTTGTCATTACGCTTGGTCAGATTTGGCTGACAACCATATGCTGCAGAATAAACTACTTCAACAAAGCTGATGCATGCAGGTAACAGGCTGGGATCAGGCTTTGCTGTGGGATCAGGCCCTTGAACTGAGAGGCTACACAAGGGAAACGGAAACTACACAACCGGGGCTGCTCGCTGTGGAAGTTTGTAGCTACACCAGACACAATGGTAAGTAAAAAAAAAACGCAGCTTTAGAGCCAGGCAGCATCAGTATACAGTAGATACTTTCCTTTACCTGCCAAATACCATTTTTGAGAGGTAGAGCATTGAATAGAGGTTCCACACTCATGATTTATCTTTAAATAATCCTATAAAAGTGAGAATTAATCCAGTAATTAGTATTTAATATGGTATTGCACATGCTCCACACTGCCATAAGGTGTTTCAGATTTATCCCCTTGCCATGCATCTAGTCAAAAACTCCCAGTAAGAAGTACCAAATGATAAACCTCTAGTCACAGAAGAAAGAAATCAATAGCCCCCATGGGTACTGCCTGCTTCAGGAAAACTGTCAGCCTAATTTGAGTGTGGCAGCAAGATTTATTCACCCCTTTTAAACAAGGTGAGCAGGTTCCAGCCAACAAGACGGATCCAGATAGTTATTTGGCGAAGCAGAAGACAGTGTAGAGAGCTTCCTGACCTAAGAAGGAAGCCTTTTAAGATGCATACCCATCATCAGTCTGTTTAGCAGTGAACTAAGGAGCATGTACAAAAATGCTGCTGTCGTAACCACTCAGGCAATAAAGGGTTCAGTAGCAGGGGATGGTACTGACATAATTTAACAGTTCACTCAAGTTTGAAGGCCAGGTTTGTTTCTGTAGTTGAGCAGATTCTGCCTAAGCAAGCAACTTTTACAGAAGCTGTATAATGCCACAAAAATCTCTGTGCGGCTGTACTCTGCCAGGAAGACACAGGCTGACAGTACATCCAGAAACACTTGCAAGCTCCAGGAGCAGCCTGGCACAGGGGCAGGTTCTGGTGCCTGCAGTCACCTGAGCCAACGAAAAACCTCACCCTCCACACTGGGCATTTTGCAAAGGGAGAACTAAGCACACCTACTTGCCCAGCTCCCTGCTACACAGGACTATAGCCAGTATAGCTAAGACAAGAGAGTCACTTCAGAGGATGATCGTTCTGAATTTTCCAAATTGTCTACTTTGCAGATCTCGCTCTTGCTATCTGAGTTGATTTCCATGCCATAAACTAGATCAGCTGCACTACATCAATGTATTTCTACTTGTCCTACAGCACAATTAAGAGACATCTAAACAAACATGCCCATGCCATTTATTTCTCAGAAACACCAGAAACAAAAGGTCAAGTTATCTTCTGAGAACCTTCTTGGTTTGATGAGCAAACAACTGCTGGTAGAATACTCCAAATGGAAGATGTTTCCAAGACTGTGGCCAATACTGCATAGGCTGTTTTTGGACATGTGAAGCCTGGTGCAGAATCCCATCTTGTTACCTCCCAAAGGCAGTCTCGTGCACTGGTCAGACCTTCCATGAAGGCTGTAACTGTGCTTTAGGAGAACTTCCCTGCCTGAGGTGGCGGGCCAAGGAAGCCCCCTGCTTGCTTGGTGGCAGCCCGGGAAGGAGCAAGACCGAGCATCTTCTGGATGTTCTGCAAAAACAAGAACAGAAGAGCAGGATAGTGTCAGACTGTGACGAGGGAGACAGAGGAAGAAATCCCAACTCTGCTTACAAGTACAGCCTTCCCACTAGTTTCAACAGATTCAGGTTCTCACCCACATAAGCCTTACCAATCTGGCTACTATATATTGGACCTCTATCCCTATATATTCAAAAATGCTTAGCAGAGCCAGACAACCATCCACAATGGCTACAATTAGAGCTGGGTCACTCTCTTCCACCCCAACAAAAGCCTTCTGATCATTAAATCCACATTTGGGTTGAGGATTCTTTTCCACCTCCAGCTACACACCACACAGGCAGCTGGCAGGTACCTCGTTAATGTCTTTGGACACAGGTTGGTTTAAAAAAAATCAACCTACAATAGTTATCTTCGCAATTTAACTGCAGTGCACACACAGGAGCAGGTTCCTACCATCTGCTTACAGGCAGAACCAAAGCAACCCTCCCTTTTCGTAAGTTCCAGAAACCCCTGCTGATGGCAGCCATCAGAGCCTGAGGGTCTGCAAGCTGACAAGGAAAGCTCTCTCCTAATACAGACGGAATTTGGGTCAGCAACATGGCAACCAGAGCGTGTGCCAAGTTCAAGTCAGGAGCTTAGACACAGAATTAACATGAATGCTAGTGATGCAGACAGAACAATGGTTTGGTGGAGACATGCAGTATAACAGGACATATGTAGCAAAACCCAAAAACTGTTTACTGAGATGACCTCATCTGCATCTGAGCAGGGTGTTTCAGTAGAAAACAACAAACAAGGGAAGAATTAAGTAGCAGAGCCAGGCATTAGCTAAAAATCTCACAGCAGAATATTTAAAAGTTTGATGTGTGTGTTGATTTTTGTGAAGTTACTTTTAAATTTTGCAACAGTGCCACTACAAAGAGCTACCAGTTCTTTCAGTTTCATCCTTCACTGTAAATAACTACAGCTCAAGATGCTGCCATGCAGTGCTGGCAAAACAGGGACATCTGATGCGAGGGAAAGAAGAAAACAACTGTGTCCCCCTCATGTTACCAGCTGAGTTCTCTGGCTATTGAGACAACAAAAGGAGGAGGAAGGATTCTTTTCAAACCTGAGTGTCCTCTCCAAAACAACTGTCAGGACAGGTCAGATAGCAAGGTCATAGAGTTCTTGAACTTTTTGATCATGGAAGAACAAACTAAAACAAAAGGCAGACAGAGCTTCATAATTCCAGAGTAGCTAAGTTAAAAAAAAAAATTGGGAACCATTCCAGGTGGAGATTATGGAAAGGGAGGTTTCAGCCCACACACAAGCATGAAAGTAAAGGAGAGAAACACTTGAAAAAGGAATTACATCAGTTTTAGCCCGTGGCCTACATAAATCAGCCATTGGCTGATATTCAGCAACTGAATATATATGAGAGCATTTCACTGTGGGAAACTCCTCCATGTGGTTCCTCTTCTCAGAGCTTCCTTATCAAGAGGTGTACAGAAGAGGGAAAACAAAAGAAGCTAATGGGCAGCTTCAGCACCACCAGAGGGTGCTGCAGAGTCAGCAGCAGGCAGGACCGGGATCCTACCGGCTTTGTACTGGCTCACCCGTGGAGCAGAGTAGAGATCCTAGCAGAGCATCCATGGAAGCAAACAAGTGTGCACTGCCTCCTCCCTGTTCCTTTCAGTATCAAGAGAGAAGAGAACTGTGGTGCTAAAGTTTACTCCATCTGCTTGAACAGTTCCAAGAGGAAGAGAGATGACAGCTTGTCTGTATGTGGATTCAAGACTACAGTCACTGTCCAGCATTATCCTTCCATAGTAGTCTCTCCTTGCTGTGGAAGGCAGCTAGCCTCCCGCACTAGCTGCAAAGCAAGTTTTGCTGGACAGCAATCCTGAAGTCTACACAGCTGGAAACACCAGGGCTGGGGCAAGGTCCAGACAGACCTGTCCTGTCTGCTGTGCACCATGTTGCACAAGGAAGCCTGCAGAGTCTACTTCCAACACAAACAAGACCATCACCTTCAGGAGCAGGGAGGGAAGACTGTAAGACTTAAGGATCCAAATTCCTCATCTGAGTTCTTCTGAACTCTCCTCAAATGACTGCAGGAAGGACAGGAGCTGCTTCTGCTTTTGTCTTCAAACCCAGAAGGGGCCTCAAAGACAAGGCAGCAAGCAGCTCCCTGCCCCAAGATCAAGCCAGTGTACTGCACTCCTGGCAGTAGGGATAATTGCTGGCTCCCTTTCCCACTGGGAACGCATTTCAGAGAGAAGCAGCCTAATCTACAGTTCAGGCATGTGTGAAAAGGAAATGAAGACCAGCAAATGCCTAAGGAACAGCAGCACATTCCTCTTCACAAACAGCACAGGTGAAGGCTGGGAGCTCAAACAGGAGCAGGGACAGAGGATGTAACCCTGACATTATGCCTCCCGCCCAGCCCAGCAGCAGACTTTCCCAGCTGAAACCCAACAGCTCAAGGACCCTAGGAAGGCCTCTCCCAGCAACCCTCCTCTCTCCAAACAGGAAGGCAGGAGGAACTAGGAGACAGGATTTACGTGCCAGAGAGAGCTGGGAACAGCGCAAAGGAAGTTACTCACTGTGAGTTGACTATTTTGGGAGACAGTGGCCAGGTCACAGACAGCAAGCTTCCCAGTCCATGTTTGAAGAGTTTATCACCTTCACATGCCTGAGGACTACATGAAGAGACTGCCTGATGCTGCTACTGCCCATCCCACTAATGTCAGTTTAATCACCATCCAGTTAGTCTCCGCACTCTCACATACTCCCCTGCATTTCCCTCCAGCTCACTTTTTTTTCCGCACACGCAAGAGTTCCTCTACTTCTGAGCTCTATAGGAACATCTCTCTTCCTTGCCCTTGATCCCTTCACCGGCAGTTCCAGGATTTAAGGGAAGGCTGAGGGATGTATGGTCTCCTTAGTTTGTTCACAACCTGTTCCCTGATTTTTGGTACACCTCCTCTCCTTCTCCTCCTGTGTCAGCAGCATCAATCCAGACACTAACTCCCACATCAGTTCTCCTCCCTTGGGCTAACAGCTGTTTTGAAGCTAACCTGGTGAGATTTCCCCTTTTGCACACAGTGAAACACAAAGGGTCACAAAGCTTTCCCTTCCAAGGTCATCCAAAGCACTTAAAGCAAGTCTTTGGCACCATTTTAAGCCCTTAATTACTTTCTTCCCCTTCCCCCGCCTCTCACAGCCCTTCAAAGTCCTCTTCCCAATGCTGTTATCAGTTCTTTCAGATAGTAATAAAGCCAAGAGCAGGATGCCAGCAATCACAGCTTCAGTTCCTAGCTTTTGCACAAACTAATGTGGCTGGTCTCTGCCCTTCCCCCCTGTGTAGCAAGGAGGAAGAAACTGAGCTGCCTGACAGCTGGAGAACTGCAGGTATAGTTCACCACGATCACATAGATAAGGCAGCACTATGAAGACTGCAATCTAACACTTCAGAGCAAAAACACCCTTCTCCAAAGCAATAAAGTAACTTCCATCCTTCACAGGGCCATCCTCATGATCTCTCAAGCACAAGGGCAAATTTTTCCAGAATTTCTCTTGAAAGCCCAACCCACTGCAAACAGCTCAGCATTTCTGCCCAAAACCAGACCGGACCACCACTCAGTTCAAACTGTCTACTGATTTCACAATAGGAAACATCAGGAAATGCCCAGGACTTAGAACTAACCACAGGAATTATATTTTTGGACAAAAAAATTCAAGGGGGATTTTTCAGCAAGGGAGTTCCCCAATCAACCCAATTGGTGCAGAAAAATCTTACTGATAGTGCTATTTAGTTTCATATAATAATCTGCAATACTGGAAAGAAGGGACTTTTCATGTAACAGGTGCGTAACACAGAGCAGCACCAGACAAGATTGCCTGAAGGAACAGCATCAGACCACAGCATCCCAGGAATTCAGGAAGATGATCTTAAGAACTAAAAAGGTCTAATTTCTTTCAAAGGAGCAAACACTGCTCCAGTTACTGGGAAGTGAAACAAGATTTATCTTGCAGCAAACAGAATGAGGAAGCCCCTGGCCTTTGGTACTCTGAAGCTGGCCCTGCTTGGAGTGAGGTGTGGGCCAGATAACCTCCAGGTGACCCTTTCAACATAAATTATTCTATAATTCATTATCTGCTTTCGCATAGGTCCAGAGACAGATCCATTTCAACACAAGCACCCAATACGGAGGGCTATGGAGAATTCGATTCGCTAGCATGCACTTTGACTAAAGGAACTCTATTATTAAGCTGCTCCATCAAGCTCATCCAAACTTCTGACAGCAGCTGGCATAACGCACCACTTCCCTTTGCTGATCTGCTTTAAATCTTTAAGTCCCTTGGCACCCCCTGAGGAAAAGCAACAAGTCGGTCAAGGAGAAAAGCAGCAAGAATTTAGGCAGTGAATCAAAGAAAAAGGAAGTATAAATACAGAAGAGCAGATAATTTGCAGCTAGTTGCACCAGCATTCATCCAACCCCCAGAGTCTATTACTTTATCCCCAGCACTCTCTGGAGAAATTTGGCAAAGTAGACTTCTGGTTGCACTGAAAAGGCCCATTTGTCCTCACCAGCCATTCCGCCACTTAAGCTGCTAGTGAACCTTCCTGAACAGGCACTTCCCTTACCCTCACTGATGCTTCTCTTTTCAAAAGATGGGACTAACCAGCTTTGCTGGGGAGCTATGTGGAGCCTGCTCTTGGCTTATCATACCAGACTCCCTTTCTGTGTCATGTCCCTAACACTGGGAGAGACTTGACACCAAAGGTAAAGTTCTTAAAACTCTGAAAAAAATCAGGCAGTCAGCAAAAACAGGAAGGACAAACCCAAAAGAACAGGCTTAACTCTTTCCTCACTTTTCTAGCAAATTTATGGACTGATTGAACCTTCATAGAACCTCAAGCCACCAAGAAAGTTTCCCCAGAAGACACTACGCTTCTCTTTTCTCATATTACTGTAAAAGTCATAATTACTAAGCAGCAGTACTTAGATTGTCTCCATCAGAAGCCAATCTCTTGGTCTGGCAATCCACAAAGTTATCAGACATACACACAAGGAAGGAACTCATTTCTGCCAACTCTGTCCTAGCATCCTGGTAGAAGTCTCCAGTGAAGTCTTCCCCACTGGTCCAGGATAGCGGCTGTTTTTATGATTCCAACCTAGAATTGCTTTGAATATGAAGCACAGGAATGAAGGCAAACACAGAAACCACAAACAGATCAAAGATTATACATGCAAAACTGGACAGCAGTAATAGACTCCTCTTTATGGACTGAGATGTGCTCTCCCTGCTCCAGGTACACAAGAGACACAGCAATGTACTCACCTGTCTGATTGACATTGTGCAGAGAATGTAGAGGAAGATGAAGGAGCAGTCAGTGTAATCCTCACCCAGAAGGTTGCGGTGGGAGAGACCTTGGATGTACGAGAGGGGGATAAATGGAAGCTTTGCCACCACTCGGCCATCAAATCTGGAAGAGAGTGCACTGGGTCACAACTGGGGACAGTAAAAGAGTCTTTGGCTACAAAAAGAACAAGTGAGCATCTTCAGCAGGCCACCAGAGCAGATAAGGCCACATGGAAGGCTAAAAAGCCATGCTGCCTTCTCCAGCCCACCTCCATATAGACTACACCACCAAGGCTAAATACACCTCTCACAAAGCCCTCCACACCCAATCATCCAGAGGGTAAGTAGGCTTCCCTCAATAACAGTTTTGCCATAGTCAGAGCCAAAGTGTTTCATAGTGATTTAAGTGATCAGCTGGACAAGCTGTTGGTTCATAAAATCTTGGTTGGTGTTTTGCAGTTTACTGGTGCATTTTATTTAAAAGTCAAATTTAGCAGATAACTTCCCAGAACACAGCCAGCACTTGAATAAAAGATGGGTGACTATCACCCTGCTGTATTGCAGTTACTGCAAGAAGATGGACTCTTTAAGCAAAAGAGCATTTTTTAAGCAGAGAATAAACCAAAGGCACCTTTTTCTTTCCTACAGCAGCTATACTTCTCAGCACAAGAAGGATGCATAAGAGAGCCATCAACAGAATGCTTTTTAATACCAGTCTTCTCTGCATTAGCTCTGAAGACAAAGGCAGTGCAGAGGCAGGATGATACTGCACATTCCAAGTGGCCTGTCCTGCTCCTGGAACTCCTCCAGGTCCACATTCCAGGGCATCAGGCAGAGTGTGAATTCTGGCCAGTTCGCAAAGATTTCTCCCAACCCAGACAGTCGACCCCATCTTTTGAAGTAAGTGTGTATGATGCCTCATCAGCATGTGCATATTTGGATGTTATTTTCTCTGCATGTGCTGATTTTCTAACAGGTGTTTCTTGTTTCAAGAGATCCTAAATGAGCGTTCTTTCCTGTGGAGATGCATTCACACAGCTACAGCTCAAACACACACCAACTTTGTTTACATCTCACAGGCAGTTTGGCAAAAGAGCTAGGAACGGATGTTTATCTCCCAGTAACATCCCCCAGTGGCTTAAAATTCTGCATTATTCCTGCTGTGAGAGTGACAAGTACTTCAGCAGTAGCACCCCAAGGTACCTGCTTTTAATTCCAGCAGGTTTTCACAGTTATCATGAAGGGGTACTGAAATGCACAGCTCCTAGAGTAAGACAGAGAATTGATTGCATTAAAAAGTTTCTGACAACAGAAAATCAAGACACATACAAGCCAATTCTTCTCCCAGGAGAAATCCTATCTGCTTGGACGCCACCACCGCTACAGATCTCACTGCCCTAGCGTACCTTTTAAGCCACAACAGTCATTCAGCTGCTCATCTTCAGCACAGCATTCTGCTCTTTGGGTTTAAACCAGCCTTCTTGACACTTACATATCCTTCCAGCACGGTCCACCCTGCTGCCCCATTACTACTGACACTCTAAGAAAAGAAAGCCAGTCATCACAGTAATTTCCATTTTGGCTAAGCTGGCACTTGGCAAAGGTGAGGTGCCCAGCCACAGAGTAGCAGCGTCTGTATAGTACTTGTCCAAAGGGCAGCACATCATGCTACTTCAATGCAATTCCTGCTCCTTTTGTCCCCCAGAGCAATGAACTCATTCAAGAACAGGAAAGGCAAGCAAATGAGGCTACAGCCATTGCAGGTGTCAGCCACCCTCTTCCTCCTTTTCATACCACACCCACAGCACCTCCATGGATGACCTGGCAGTAGCAGCTTCCCAGAGGGAGCCCAAGAGCCTCCTGAATTCATAACTGAAGTACTCTCCTGAGACAAGCAGCTGCTCTTTATGCTATGTCAAGAGAATGACAGTACATACGTGAGAATCAGCTCCATCAAACCATTCTATCAGCTTCAAACAGTGCAAGTACAACCCACCAAAGCTGCCATTCAGATACGAATGCACTAGCTACCTTGTACTGAGACCAGGAGCAAAAATTTAACTATCTAGCCCCAAAGGCAAGACAGCCAAATCTTTAGATTTTAATTCAATAGCCTCAGCTATTAGCAAGAAAGCTATTTCAATTCAAACAATCAGTGAGCTCTCTCGATACTCCTGCTGTTCATGTTCAGGTTCCCTCTAAAGAAAGAGACAGTTAAAGGAAAGATATGCCCAAAGGCTTCATGTCAACTCTGTGGCTTGTAGCATGGTCTCTCTGGGCAGGAATCCTCAAAAGAGGAACAAGACAAGTAAACTTGGTGGTCTTAAAGGAGAAGAAACCAATAAACTGATTTTTTAGGCTAATATCTCTGGAAGGAGGAGCCACACAGGACTTAACCAAAATCAATTCATTCCTAAAGCTCTTAATGAATTTAGTCTTTTAACACTTGTCAGTCCTAGCATACTCTGAACTGCCTCTTCCGACTCTAGGAAAGTGGGCAGAATAGGGTGGGGTTTTTTAGTTTGTTTTTCAGTTTGTCTCAGGGGCAGAGGTGGTGGTGGTGGTGTTTGCATTGCACCCAAATAGCTAGGCAAGCACTTGGAAGGCCTCAGGTGCAGTGCTATAAATCCCCCACAGACACTATGTTGCTGGGCACATGACTCACAATGCCCCTCCATCCCTGTTCAGGGCTGCAGTGAAATGAGACATTAATGACGCAAGACTGTACCCAAATTTTAAAGCCCTTTAGCGCTGTGTTCCTCTGCCTAGTTTCGCAGCATTCCAGAGAATGCTAGATGCTGAAGTCTAAGCTGAATAAATAGAGAGTCCACACAGTGGCACTTCTGTTATTATGTCACCCCATTTGTAATTTATCCACCCACAGATCTGCTGTAAAATAACAATTGACTGTATCCTGGGGACTGCCAGCACAGAGGACGAAGGTTTTGGTGCCCAAGAACATAAATTCCTGTTTGCAGGACAAGTATATTGCCCAGATATTAAGCAGCCTCCCGAAGGTTATACTGACCATATTCATGTTATCTTCAGAGTTAACAGCCAATGGGAAGTTCACATTTCAAGACTGAATCAAGTTTCAAAAGTCAAGCACAGTCTTTCAGTTTTGTATGTCTGCAACAAAGCTGTCTATAACCATGCAAACCAGTCTGGGCTTTTTTTGTCTTTGTTTTTTTAAAACTAGACCTATCCCAGGTCATTTTTAAAGCAAAGGAAGATTAGAGTCCATGCCTGGACCTGTTAGTATCTTGACTCTGATCACCTTAAGTAGGGCAACAACGAACTCTGCAATTACAGCTCATTTCTAAGGGCAAGGGAGCTGACCCAGTTTTGTTTGCAAGAGCATTCTTTGGTCACACTATCATAGCAAAGCCAGAAAAGCTGAAGACTGTAGCTCCTTGCCTGACACCTACCAAACTTGCCCTTATCGAGATGTTCCCAAGCAGAAAGGATGTTACAGTTGTGTCTAGATTGAATGCAATTTGTTCAATTTGATTGCATTCGGCATGCAGTGTTCCCTCTTGAGCAGAACATGCGCGTGATGACCAAACAACCACATCTTCGTATGAAACATTGATCCATTTTATACCAATTAGTTATGGTTCTTGGATAGACAATGTCACTAACACTTCAGGTGACAGAGGAAAGGTGGAGAATATATTCACCATGAAAGTTTAAGAAAAATCCAGGAAGTTGATACTTACATGGAGTTAAACATTCCCATCAAGGCAGTAAAGCAGAAGCCAATGGCAAACATGGATTTCATCCGAACCTGCAAGCAGAAAGGTCAGAGACAATCAAAACAACAGGCCTACACTGAGGGATTATGGGCTCACACTCCCAAGAACATGCTTTGTACAGCCTCACTGGAATCTAGAAGGAAAAAAGATGACCCAGAAGGCCAGAGGGACTGTAAAAGTGACTGGAGAACTCCCAAAGAGAAGTCTGGTCAACAGATGGGTACAAAGGCAGCCACAGAGTGGACCACTGATGTGAAGAGCTGCTTCAAGGAAAAAAAGAAGTGCTCACAAACTATCCTGTTACCTTCCACAGGTTGGGTTTTTTCCTTAAGCCTATACAACCAATCAGCAGGAGATCATTATGAAGACAGAACTTACAAGAGGAAGTCAGACAAATTAATTACTTTGAAAACATCGTGGAGACTTATAAAGATGAAAATAGCCAAGGTTGGGCATGAGATGGGGCAGTAACTGCTGGAGAACTCTGTGACTCATACTAAAATCTGTAGCTATTAGAGATAATCCAGAAGGACCTTTCAGGAGGAAAAGCTGCTATGTCTGCCAATTGAACAAAGTCTTTCTGTTGGAAAGCTGACTGAAATCTTCAGCAGTCAGGAACCGGCTTTAATTTTCTTACCATTGACAAGTCTCTGTTGTTATTCTTCAGTTTCTCTTCTTGTCTCTCTGGAAAGAGAAAAACAACAACAGTTATAATCAGTTATACCAACCTAGAAACCAGAATGTTTTCATTTCCAGGAAGACTTAACCTTCTTGGCTCTCCAAACAAATAACACTTCCAAAACCAACTCCAGCTCTCTATGCCAGACAGTAGAAAGTGAAAAGCTATACATAGGCAACTGCTTCTCTACCACAGCAACATGCAGCAAAGCAGGCACAAAAGAGGAGGAGGCTAGAATCACACATTCAGCCCTTTTGAAAGAAATGCACAGAATGTCAAATTTGCTAACTCAACGAACTAAGACAGTAGCATGAACAATGTTGCCAGAAAACAGAGACAGTGCCTCTATATCACACTTCCGAAAGAGAGCAGTCTCAATTTGCTGCACACCAGGCCCACCATTATAAATACATTATATAAGAAAGGATTTCATTTCGGAGGTGTCAGAAGGGACTCCGAAACCGTACACAGAGCCAGGAGCCGCACCTCAGCAAGGCTAATATCCTGCTGGTCTTAGTAATGAATTTTGGAGCCTTGTCACACCTAGAAGGTTCTCCAAAGAGGAAAGATATTTTCTACATGAATTTCAGTAATGCATGTATTACTATGCCTTGCAGAGAATACTTTAACACACTACTTTGGAAATTTAGTCTGTCCTTAAGCCACCACAAACTTCAAAGATGCCCAGTTTTCTGAGAGGGCATTTTCCATGCCCCTCATTGGAGGACTGCTCTGGCCTTGAGCATTATCCACCACCTGTCACCTTTCTTATCCCACGTCCCCATCATCCCTTGTCCACTATGCTCCTCTCAGACTGAGGATTCAGAGGGGCAGCCAGGGCTTGGAAGCAACACCTAGGTGAAGTAAGGACGTGGACGATGAAGAAATATCCAAAGAACAGTGTGAGTGAAGAGATGGGGGGATGCAGAAGGACTGTCAAGGGCTATCCAGCATGCGATTTGTCCAGTGGATCCCTGCTGAAGTTTCAGTACAAGAGGCCCATGGCACAGAAGCTCAACAGTTATCTTTCAAGCCGCTGCTAAATACAGGGACTCGCAGTAAGCGTTATGAAAAGCAATAGCAACACCCCTATCCAATTTCTTAGCATCCTCATTGCTATTTTCAGTTGCTCCTAACTACAAACCATCCACTCTGGCAGGAGCTTTCCAGACATCTGCTTCCTGACCCAGGTGGAGAGTTTTGTTCTGGGACATTTCAGCAACCACAGGCCAGCTCTTTAAGAATCACATTTGGCACAAATACTTGTTTTTTTCCCTCCGCTACATAACTAACCATCTATTTAGATAGGCTAAAGGTTACATAGGGATAAAGAATACAGCCCTGATCCCCCAATATACTTGACCTGTTTCTCACCTATTTGTACAAATTCAAAACAAACAGGCTCTGGCTGTCCTACCACCTTACATAAATGGTCTATTCCTGCTCAAGTCATACATAAGCAGCCTTTAGTACTTTGCTGTACAGCTGGGTAAAGGCACAGAGAAAGAGGACTGGGTCAACAAGCAGCACTCCGGAGTCCAAAGTCGTCTTATTCTGCTCATTGGAACACAAACCATGCGGATACAGGGATACAGCAATAATCTTATTTGCCAGCATTGGGGTTTTTTTTGTTTTGTTTGTTTTTCTTTTGCTATCTACCCAGCACTCATGTGGACTCCTGGGAATGTCACTATCTTTTCTTCTAGGGGCACATGGATGCAGAAAGCAGTAGCAAAGTTTAAGCTAACAAACGCACTCCTTAAGCTGAAACGACAGAAGGCTGCACCATGATGTTAAAGGTGTCCTGTTCCAGCAGTGTGAAAGGTGATTTAGACACAATGTGACTGAAGTTGGTTCACTTCACTCTTAAAAATAAGAAGTTTGATAAGTAGGAACACCAAATCAAGCCTTCCCATGCAACTTTCACCCTACCTCCTTGTGCATATGCATGATTCATCCCTTACGTAACCAAGTAATATCATAAACACACCTCCGGCCTTATTCTGCACACAAAACAGATGGCAACCGAGGCAGGTCTGTACCATCTGTAAAGCCTCGGCTCATTTTTTTTTTTTTAAACTAGAATAGTAGAATTTAAAGGAACTCCAGCACAAGTAAATTTGCTGTTACAACAATGCTACATCTTGCAAAATGATTTGACATCCAGTAAGTTGCTGGGATCAGAGATTTCAAAAGCAGTTAACAGCTGTGAGTCATTTTCTGGATGTCCAGCTTGACATTTAGGGCCTGATTTTTCAGAAACACTAAGAATTCAGCTTTGCCTGAAAACAAGCGAGACACTGAAGATATGCAGCACTTGCAAAAAAAAAAAAAATCAGTCTCAGTATCTTAGGCTTGGCCAGCAAGCATCACAGCAAACAAAATCAGTGGTCATTTCCTAAGTTCTGTTCTTAGTCCCTTTGTGCTTTGTTTTTGGGACACTGAAAATATGCAGCACTTGCAAAAAAAAAAAAAATCAGTCTCAGTATCTTAGGCTTGGCCAGCAAGCATCACAGCAAACAAAATCAGTGGTCATTTCCTAAGTTCTGTTCTTAGTCCCTTTGTGCTTTGTTTTTCATTTGCAAAACAAGATTATTTCAGTGTATAAAAAAAACTGGTGGAGCATCTGAATTCCTCAGATTCTACTGTTTATTAGTTTAGTCCAAGCACAAGTAAAATATTCTCTGCTAGGAACATAGCTTGGATGGTGCCCTGCAAAAAAGTCATTGCCACACATGTGACCACATGTAACAACAGCACGTAACATTAAAAAGTTGCCTTATCCACCAAGCAGTATTCATCCCATGCAGGGATTATTCAAGATTTAAGAACTGAAAATGCACAAGAGGAAGAATTTTGGCTCCTGTCCCTTCAGGAGTCTAACGATAGCACGTTTTATACCTAGGAAGAACTGTTTGAAGATATGTTTATAATTATTCCCAAGCTTTGTACAGATCAAATGACTAATCCAGCTACCTGGTGTTACAGAGGAATGAGGAAACCAACTCCCAGGAGCTCTCAGAAGTGTTTCTGCCACAATTTTTGTAATAATTTAACTGGGCTTTGCTGCACATTTTACTTTAGAGTCCTGCAGATAACAGAACTTTCTAAAGCTCATGTCCATTAAACATCTACCACATTGTTCTTGCATAGTTCAGTACTTAGAGTTACCTTCACCCAGAAAGACTTAAGCTTACTGACAATGAAAAAGAATGGAAAAATAAAACACTACTTAAAATTGAGCGAAACTAATTTAATCAAACTTGAAATAAATCTAAGCACAGTTAGAGTTAACATGCAAACACCTTCAGCTCTGAAGTGTTGAAATGAGGAAAAAAAATGGAAGATCCAAAAATCACAATCATACAGTCATACAGCTATTGCAAGCTGACAGTGCACTGCAGCAAAGAGCTTTGACAACAGAAGTTAATAAAGTCATGGATATAAAGGCTCAAATCGGAGAGAAAGGCAACCAGTTCAGCAAGAAGTGCTGCTCCTCTCAGTGATGCTGCCCTTCTCTGCATTTGACTAAAACCATCAAGAGGCTAGATGTCTCCTGTCTTGGAAGAGTAAGGCAAAAGTGTTCATATTCCAGTGATCAAGCCAAGAATCAGCTCTAGTACCGCTTTAAATAAATAGTTTTAAAAGGAAGGAAAGGATAATCACTTCTGTAAGTTTCTCAACCTTCCCTCATTCTTGGGGTACTGCACTCCTCTCCCAGTCTTACCTATTTTCTTTTTCTGCTGTCGGCCTGCTGATTCAGTTATCGTTTCCTTCTTCTTTTCCACTGCCAAGTGAAAAGAAAGATATTCCATCATTTCTGCATAGGGATACCACCACCCCTTTTCCACACACCAAACAAAACATTTTATTCCTTTAGCGAACAGGGGCACAAAAGGAAGCTAGGTATGACTAAGAACATATTCAGAATCAACAAGTTATAAACAACCAAGGCTGACTCCACCGAACACTTAATAATAAAAAAAAAATTCAAAACCCTGGATGAGATATCAGAATATTTAAAGGGTTAATTTTAAACTGTCAAGAGCCCATTACATTGTTAACTGAGCAGTCTGGGGACAATTTTGGCTCAAATGACCCTTGCTGATTTGTCATTAGCACTAGACAGTACTTTTGATTCAGCAAGTGTAATGAAAAGAGCTTTGTGGCAAGCTCTGCTCCTGATTATCTGCAGTGGGAAGCAGAATACAGGAAAGCCTGTGTTCTCATACATCTCTTCTTCACAGGCAGGCATTCTCAGGGGAAATGCTGTCCAAGCAGTCGGCCACGGTCTCTCCATTCTTCAATTAATTAGTACTGAAGCATTTCCAATATTTTAAAGTAGTAACTTTGGGCTTAGGCTCCTAAGACCCCAAATCAGACACTCGCCAAGCATCTGCAAACAACTACCACTGCAGCAAAAAAGGCTAACAAAGCCAGCATAGTGAACTTATAACACAGTAAATGGGCTGCCCATCTGCAAATGCTCTTCTGCTGACAGCAAGAAGAGCTTTTCCAGAAAGTAAGAGACATTTTAATTTAAGACCTATAACAAGAGTACTACAACAACTAAGTACGATAAAGCATGGCTATGGTCTAACAACAGATGGCAACCCTTTATTTACTCAAAACTCCATGTATCTGTACCATATCTACTCTACCAACAAAGACACTTGGCTCCTTGTTAGCTCACAGAACCAGCTTAGAGACCTGAGCATTAGGACTCTTCTCCCACAGGAAGTACTAGCTGAGCACAGATCTAGCCTTGATTTCAAAGCACAGGTGAAAAAGAGAGCCAGCCTTTAGAGTCACACAAAGATTTGTAGGGCTGGCTTCTGAAATGCCCGTGATATGCAAGTCAGTCACAACTGCTAAGAAAACCACACTAGCCCAGACAAGATACCTAAACTTTATCTCTTCCATGGTAATGTAGTAAGACACAATTGTTTTTCCCAAAGAACAAGCATACCTCTGCTGGGCAGGCTAGCACAAGGGGAAAAAACCAGGGAAGCCTGCTCAGAGGGAATGCTGGAGAGAGGTGCCGGATGACACAACACACCCAGTGCTCACAGAATGCTTTCTCCATAACCTTCCTTATGCCAAATCCAGCCGGGGGATCCCGAGCAGTCCATCCCAACCCTAGTCCACATAACCCCATGGCCCCCAACTCTAAACCCAACTGGAGAACACCTTGACTCTTTTCAGGCCTACCTATTGCTCCCAGCCCTAACAAGAGGGCTCCTCCAGACCCCAGCTTCACTCTGGACAGCACTATTAAGTCTTATGCCAACCCCAAGGAACTCTACAGCCCTACTTCCCTTATGGCTCGAGCAGAACAAATAACTGTCAGGCAGTCTGGGAACATACATGACAACACAGCAGCAGTTCTAGAGATAGCCTTCAGTCTTGCAAATTTACCACTACATTTACCCCAGAACACTTACTATAATCTCTGCAGCAGTCTCAGACAATGCTGTGTCTCTCAATAGAAAGAAGATGACAGGAAGAGATGAAACTAAGGACTGAGTAGCAATGTCTGCTCAAGCACACTACTTGGCCCATTTGTTTTTGCAAATCCTAAGGATTGCTAGGACTCTCATGGGAGAGCTTAAAGATCTCAAATGTGTTTTTTCCTGTTTCAGATGTGTCAGATAACAGTTGAAAGGTGTGGCTCAGGTGGTCTACTTTGCAAGTTGTCTGTAAGCCATGAGGTCAGCCAGCTGTCCTTCGCACAAGAGGGGAAAAAAAAAAAAAAAGCAAAGCTGAATTTTTAGTGACTCCTTATTCGGTTTTATTTTTTTTGTTGGGGATGGGGAAATCAAACAAGGAGGTTAGAAACTAATTGAGATGCATGAACCTCACATCTTTCCCTTCACAGATTATAGCCCAGATACTAGGAAAGATATAAAACCAGACAGCATTAGACTCTTACAGCAATCATTAAGCCCCAGAGATTAAGCCCTGCTAACTGCTTTTGGGGTTCCACAGCACAAACACACTAGGACATTAACTCTAAGTTTTCAGCTGGGTTTCAACTACTTCTCTAACTTGCTCTTCTGGGGCTAATTCTACCCTACACATTTTTGTCAGCCAAATGGGATTGAAGTGAGGCAGGCAGAGATGCAATCCCCATCTGATACTGCTGTGATGACAAAAGCCCCTAATTTAGGAGCTGTGACACAAGCATGACTATACTTCAACTTTTCAGTTTATTTTGCCCAGGGGAGGGCTGGAATAAGCTAGACTGGAAAGAGCACGCTTTGATAACGTTGTTCTCTCACACACTAAGAGCGCTGACATCACGGTGAAATATTTTTAAGGTAAAACCAGCTCAGGTTTGGCCCCAGTTGTTGTGTGCTCACTCTTACTGCTCCAACTTGTGTAGGGCACATACAGCTGAGTTTGAAATGTCAGCTGCATTTGAAAGGTCAGCTGAATTTCTCCTCTGTTCCTTGGCTTCTGATACAGACAGGTCCACTGAAACACTCCATGCTCAGACCCTCCTGTTTACCATTCCTCTTAATATCCAATGCATACCTTCTGACTGCTCACCCTCAGCTCCCTTTTCCTCCCTCGTCCTTTGTTCAACCCCTCCCAGGCCTCTCAGATCTCCTTTCTATGGAAGCAACCTGTGACTTTTTCTTAATCAATTCTAAATTATACTAGTGTAAACTGGAAATAAGTATTTTTGTATCAGCTGACAGCTCAGATCTTTCTATCGTGGCTTTGTCTTTACTCATCCCCCACCATTAATCATCACTTAATCTTTACATAAAATGCCTTCCTCTCATGGTATTCATTATTCAGCCCCAGTTCTTTCTTACTACAGATCTCAAATTCTCCACTGCCCTTGAAAAGCAGAAACCATCTTTGAACTTGTTTCAGGCATCTAAAGGAATCTACATATACAGACACTGGCTACTCATGCTCAGAAAAAAAGATTCCAGTACTGATCTCTTACTCCCTCCTGTCCTCCATTAAGAGGAGGGGCAATTCAGACAATGCAACAGGTCTTTGTACTAACCTTCCTTCCAGCAAAAGACAAGAATTAAGGACAGGAATAAATCCCCTCAGTATGGATTTGTATAACTTGTAAAATTAGGTTCCTATGAAATCCAAGCTGAAGAAAGTTCTCTCCCTTAGCAGAAGAGGCAGCGGGAATTTCTCAGAGCACAGACTCTATTCAATTTGACATCTGCTAAAGCATGATATAACAAGAGCAGCAAGACACATTCTCTAATGTCTGAAGAGTACTTACATTTCTTGCTCTGTTTTTCCACTTCAGCCTTTAATCTCTTGTATTTGTCTGTTCGGTATACCAGCACCCAAGTTATACCTGAAACAAATACTCAGCAAGTAACTAGATAAGTAAAGACCTCTTGCAATAATAGGGATACAAGTTAGCAAATACATATGCAAAAAATACACGTCACGTCTACAAAACCACATTATAATATGGCAAAGGTAACACAAATCACCGGAAAGCTGTATCATCACTTTCCTTCAAATCAAATCACTTTCCTTCTCAAGTTCCACGTAGCAATGGTGCCTATAAAATAAATGTCTTTAGAAGTTACTGGCTATCTTACTGAGCACTACTGTTTTGTGGGACTCATTCAGTTCCTTCATGCTCATATTTACCAGCTGTTGCTCACCTTAAAACCAGGAGTTGATTAAGGCAATAAACAACTTTGTGTTCTGCATTTTTACAGCACCTAATTAAGGCCTGAGGAATAATTTCCATTCCTACCAGGACCTGCCCATTAGTAGCAGCACATTTTGAAAAGGCAAAGAGAGATATTAGGCTAGAAGAGACCTCAAGAGATTCTCCAGCCTAACTTGCACTCAAACGTGATCAAAATTAGTTCTGCCACAAGTGCAGAACCAGTGGTTTGTGAACAGTTTAATCTGAGCTCCTACACAAAGCTTTTGGCCCTTTTCTGGGCTTTAGTTTGACAACAGGACTGTGCTACTGAGACCCAGGGATCACCAGCTGCAGAGAAGGGAACCCTGTAGATGCTTCTGAGGTCGACACAGCTTTGTGATGTGAGAGGCAACAGGTGTGTACACCATCTAATCCCAAATGCAATGCAGTAGGGCTCCTAAAAAGCAAGTATCATATTCCACCTGGGACTCTCCCTGCCCTTGAATGCCCAAAGACAGTGTCTTGCAGCTCTGGTACAAAGGAGATTTTGGGATATAGCTCAGCACCAGGAAAAGGGAGCAGCCTCTGACTTTTGACTACCCCAAAAGGTATCTATCCAACCTGCCTTTAAAAAGCTGCACCTATTTCAGCACCCTACCATTCAAAAAGCCTTTTCAAGCAACCAATCTAAGTCACTATCACTACAAGTTCAGGCAATGTCTTCACATCCTTCCCACAAGAGCTACAGAAAACCACCAGTGTCCTCTTTCAGGCACACTGAAAACCTTTAGCCCATCCTCCTATAGCCTTCCTCCTTCTAGACCCAACAAAGCCAATTCCCACCACTTTGCATGAGAGGTCAGTTTTGCTTAAGAGTTATTCACTGCTATCCTCCGGGGTGCCGACGCCGGCCTCCAAACACCAGGCCTCAGGTGGTCCCGAGTAACTGAACCTCGTTTCACACCCTCACTGTCCTGCCTTCCCTCCGACACACGCTCTCCCTTCCGTTCCGCCCACCCTCCCCAGTGACCCCAATCCCGCCCTTTAACCCGCTCCCTCCCAGCGCTCGGGGGCGACGCGGCACAGGCGAGGAGCAGCAGCCTCCTGCCAGCCCCCTCCCGGCGGCCCCCCAGCCACTCCCGCCCCCCCCCACGACC